TAAATGGATTCAGCTTCTTCATTTTAGGGCCTAAGGTCCTGAAATTTGGTATGGAGGTACAGTGGGCAAATACCCCTAGGCGTTTTTTAAATTATTGTGATACAGGCTTTTAGAATGGTTTTATTTGAGTTTTTTGGCTGTGTTATAGCAAATGTATTACTGTGTTAGTTTGCCTTGTTTACCACGTTTGGGCATGAGTCATCACAATGGAATGCAGGGCATCAACCAATAGGCATGCAGCTTTCCTCTATACTTCTTGCTGATTGGCTGTTGGGATTTAACTTGATTAACACCTGCACAGAAGCATTTCCATACTGACAGTATGTCTGTATTCAAGTGTTTTGGTAGGTATTTCAAGCTTTCCTGCTCCAGCATTGGAATGCCGGGCATGGACGTTTTTTTTTATTTTGAAAATCAACAGTTTGCATTATGCAATTAAAAATCCTAACCAATAAAGTAGGGAATAGCTATCCAACTGTTGTTTTAGTTGTATTTTACTTCATATTATAGTTATATCAATGTAAATCATTGTTTTCCCTTGTGTTTCTCATTCTTTCCCTGCCATGTGGTAAAATGTGGTGAACCCATCGCTGTATTTGCTCCAAAGCAAATATTGGCCTTTCTAGTGTTGTTACTGAATTTGCTGACAATTCATTTCATGTTTTCTAGGGATGGACTTGTGTGTCAGCTGTGTCTTCCCACAGCTATTGCACATGCAAAGACCTACACTGAGCTGGCAGCCATAGCATTGCTGGGTCCAGGTACTGCCTTATCTCTTCATGTTGTGGGTGTGGTTCACAAAGTGGTTACTGTGTATATTTCTGAACCCTGTTGGAAATAGGTATAGGAAATAAGTAACGAATCAAGGAATCATTTTGTCATTAGAACTCTGCATGCATCTTTGAAGTGTACACTGTATGCGGCTATGTTAGTGTTAACTTTAACTATGTTCTGCTGTAAGTTAGGTCACAAAACTGTAAAACATTTTCTGAGAGTCCTATTTCATATCACAGTCCCAGATCAATTGGTAGGTATGGAAAGCTATCCCCCAATCCCTTTAATTAACTTCCTCTCTGGAACTTGCAGAATTTTGGGTCTCCAAGTACCATCAGTCGAAGTCCACAGTTATACTCGCCCCTCCACCCACATCCCCGTCCCGTAAACAACAACACAGACGCAGTGATCCCATCCTTATTGCAAGGTAAGACAATAAAAGTACAGGTCTATTCTTATCTCTGATTCAGTAGACAAAACTGTTGTAAACTGGTGTGAAAGGTGGATACTACTAGTATTCTTCCTCTATACTATTAAATAAGTCCTAGCAGCACAGTCACAGAATTTTGATGATTCATTTCAGGCCATCCTTGAGCAGCCACAGCAGCCTTGAAGAGTCCCCAAAGACAGACATGTCCTCCAAAAATGTGTCCCTTCTGGGAACCAGCCCACCTCCAAACTCCAACACACATGGGATACTGGAGGCACAGCTGCAAGGTAGGATGGAGTCCTATATGGACAGGAAGTGTTTTGTCTTGGTGTTCATGTGGCATAAACGTCTTTGGAAGGTATGAAATGTAAGTACAGTAGCTTAGCAGTAGACAAAACTGCTGTATAGAAACCACTTCATTGTTCTGAATCATATGTGAAGAAATGTCTTCACTTGCTGATGGATGAAAGAAGAATGGTAGTTCTGATGAGATATGTTTATCAGGAGAATGTCTGAAGGTTGTCTCTTGTTGTGTTCAGCCCTGGAGAGCAGTGTGAGGATAAGGCCTTCAGCTGAGCCATCTCCAACCCAAACCAGCTGGGCTTCCTGGGGCTGGCCCCCACACAGTCCAGACAGGAGTTACTATGCAACAACCAAGAACCCCCCCAGCCCACAGAGGAAGCCAAGTCTGGAGTTCCTGAACCCCGTGTACTTCAGTGAGAACATCCCCCCTCCCACCACACGTGCCCCTCCCAGGCCGGCAGAGTACCAGACTACCACAACTATCACATCACAGGTGGTGACAGCAGCTACAGTGTCATCTTCTCATCACCAGGATACAGACAGGAGTGACTCCTCAGTATCTCTCCCCGCTCCGCCCAGTTTTGCCAGGAGGAGGCAAGGTAACCTGTCTGTCACCAAGGCCGACAGGGACTCCGGCTACAAAACTCCTCCTCATGCACTCTCTGACCATGAGGGAGAATTCATTGATTACTCCAAACCAAAGAGGAAAGTATTTGTGAACAGTATAGAACAGGAGACGAGTGACCCTGGGGTGGGGCTGTCGGTGGAATCTATCGATGGAGAGGAGACTCAGACCAGCTCCACCCCATCATCAGGGTACGGGGAGACCCAGAGAACTCACAGCTCCCTGTCCAACCAGTGGTCAGAGTTTGATCCTCTTGTGTCTATCCCAGAAATGGGCAGTCTGGAGGATTCTCCCCGACAGGGGCTGGGTGTGTCCCCAGCTACCTTCCATAGAACACAGGACACTGTCCTCCACCAGTCCTTACAGAACAGGTCCATGCTGTCTGAGACATCTGGTGCAGGGAAGGTGCAGACGTTCTACCCCAGGCTGCTGGACGGCCAGGGTAAGGAACACTCCACTCATGGGAAAAGGAGCCAGATGTCATCCTCGGGATATGCAGAAATTGAGGAGGTCAGCCCCGGAAATGGTCACATCCCAACTCAGGTGGGTTTTTGTTCATTGCTACTTCAATATTTTGTCCCATGCAGGGACAGATAGAATCTATGATATTTGCCTGTCCAACATGATTGCAGTTGTAGACACTTTCTAGATGATTATCTATACATCTATTAGTTTCTTTTGAATTTTGTTTGGTGCATTGTGTATGTATCTCTTGACATAATAAGAGTAAAGATACTTTGTGTATACTTCTAGTAGTTCTAGTGTCTGACATGTATTGATATTTCCCCAGCCTGAGGGCAGCAGTGATGAGACAGATGATGACGTGTTTGACGGACGCAAAAGAGGCAGCAAAAACATCCTCCCAGCCAAGAAGCTTCGGCACAGAGGCAGTGCAGCCTTTAAGCAAATCAAAGGTACAATAAACTAACTGACTTACCTGGCTCACCTAATATGCCACTCTCCTCAATAATCATACAGTACTAAAGTGCTTTAAAGAATGAGAAATGCAGGTGCTGGATATTATTCTAGACAAGGATTGTTACATGTATAAATGGTGTTATGAAGGTCTGCAGAGTTATTGATGATGATGTCAATGTTTTATATTTGTAGCTTCTGCCCTGAATTTGAAGAAGAAACCTGGAAGAGATTCCACCACAAAAATACAGGAGCACATTATCAAGTAAGTTGCCATTATCACTCATATCCATATTGCCTTTGCTTTATTGTGAAACACCTTAGCCACGGTCACAACCCGCCGTACGTGCTTTTTGTCCGTACGTTTTTTTGGAGGCTACGTCTGCTACATTTTTTCTGAAAACGTGGGAAGGAGTGGCATCGACGCACGTCACTCGCACGGTTTTGCAAGGTGTAAGAGTGTGGTCTGCACGCCACGTCTGGCCATCAGCGGTTGCGTGCATTGTACGTTGCGCAAGTGGTAAGTGAGTTGTACGTGCTTACAACGTACGATCTCTGTGCGATTGCAACTTTACCGTAAGGAGGCCGTACTCACATGGGCATCTTTCGTACGGTACGTACGGGGCACGCGCATCGCCCGTACTCGCACGCATGGGTGGTGAATCCGTAGACCGCACGCAGAAGAAGTTTTACATGCACGTAAAGTTCTGCGGCGTGTCTGCGTGCTCTCAAATCCTCAGGATTCCGTACGGAGGCGGTACTCACCACGCAAGGATGCCCTACATTTGCCCACGTTTTTGCATGTAGACAGCACGCAGAAGCACGTACGGCGGGTTGTGACCGTAGCTTTAGGGAAGAAGATGATTTTATCTCTAAGAATACACATGTAAGGAAGTTGTCATACGTAATACTTTTGTTTACATAATTTGTGAGTACTGACTTTCTTGTCAATGTACTACAGACTTGAGAAAGTTATCAGTCTAACAAGTATCACGTTTGTTGCATGTGTGTGTAGACTGGCTGATAATAAGAACAGCACATTTGGGCTGACCATCGACAACTTCATCCAGTGTACCCAGGAGAGTGCTGAAACCAACCCTGCTGTAGTCATCAGAAATGTAAGTGGTGTCCTGTTTTTGTTTGAAAACCTGAGTCGTAAGTTACTTCTTTATTCCTTTCTTTATCATGTACAGTTTCTCATAGTCGACTCTGTGCTCAGTTTGACCTGACATGTGTTTCCTGTACAGGTGCGACAGTTCATGAGTGGGATGAAGAACTACCTGCTGACCCAGGGGGAGGCCAACCTGGATGAACTCATACATAAAGAACAACAGAAGGTCAGGACAGAATGTCAAAAGTTCATATCTTTACATGTTAGTACTTGGTTTTGAACCTTAAGTTATATTTCTTAGTAGTACAAATACAGCATGCATCAGATTGTTTTGGAAAATGTTTCTGGCTAAGATAAAGCCCCTCTTACCAAGTGGTTAGCCTCTTCCAAAGTATCTGAATTTTTAGCTCAGCCCAAGGAACATTGCACTGTATTCTCTGACATAGATTACCATTGTCACAAAATATGTTTATGGGACGGACTGTAATTGCCTCATTACAGCATGACCGTAGGAATCCCCTGCCTCTGGACACCATCATTGAAGGTGCCTTGTACGAGTGTGTGCTGAAACATCTCAGGTCCCACCTGTACAAGTGCTACATCCAGCAGTACACCAAGACTGGGGATCTGGACATTCTCACCAGGAACATGAAGGCTGCCAGACGTCAAACACCCGAGGAGCTTGGAGTTAAGGTAGGGACAAATATTCCCAATTACTGATCCTGGATATTGTTGAGCATTGTAGCTTGATTTCTGACTGAAGGGATTTAACATCGCTTACTAGACAGACTTCAATGAAGAATCTTTGCATTTTAGGTTGTGCTAAAATGTGCTTAATGTGACTGCATGAAGCAAGAGATGTGATTTAGTGGTGTATGATTAAGGAATTCACAATGTCATGTCATTCTTCTGTTTGACAGGCCAGCATTGTTCCCCCCACTGGCTCCAGTCTAGATGTGATCAGAGATTTCCTGCACTGTATGGAGCTGGAGCACTCCCCACCCAAGAAGTTGGAGTACCTTCTGGCTGCTGTGTCATCCATATACAACAGTGTAAAAGACACCAGTAGACAGGAGAGCAGCACCCTGTCTATGGGAGCTGATGGTGAGTGGGAGGTTCTTTTCTCTTCTGGAAACTGACCAAGGTTTGTGACTGATCATGGTTTTCAATCCAGTAGAACCCTTGAAGAGTTGAACCCTGTTGTGTTTCAGATTTCCTCCCAGTGTTTATCTACGTGCTGGCCCACTGTAACCTGACCCATGCGGAGATCGAGGCAGAGTACATGTGGAGCCTGCTGAACCCACACCTGGTGAACGGGGAGGGGGGGTACTACCTCACCACCCTCAGTAGTGCCATCCATGTGCTCAAGAACCTGGAGAACACCGAACCAACCACCGGCAGGGAGGTAGGTCACGCCTGAAAGGCATACTATTATGGAATTAAGTGGAAAGGAAGCCATGTTTGTCCCCAAATTGCTGGAACGTCTGTGGATTGGTGCATGTGAAGACTGTTGTGTTTTCTGTGTTGCAGCGAGTACCCAGTGTGAGTGACGTGCAGGGTTTCATGAAGATTGCCATCTTCAACCAGCGTCATGGCACCATCGTGAACAAGACACTACCTGTCAGGCAGGACATGACTGCCAAGGAAGTCTGTAAGTCCACGTTTATTTCCAACACATTCCATATATGATACAAGCTTGTGTTTTAGTTCAAAACCTGTATACATCCTTATCTCTTTCTGGAGTGTTGAGATGTTCTGATCACTGGTGTTAATCACTGTTGATATATTTCTGTTTTGTCTCAAAGGTTGCATGATCAGTCACAAGTTTAAGCTGGCAAATGCAGACAACTTCAAACTGGTGCAAGTGGTAAAAGGAGAAGGTAAGTCACTCAACCATTCATTATCCCTCAGAGTTTAAGACATTTGATGATACCGGTACTTATAACTTGTACTTTGTTGCTAACTTGGCCTGGAAGAAAATGAAAAAAATATGTAGCTACGAGGTAGATTTATTAAATCTACCTTTACACAATACGAATCTGAACAAGTGTGATGATTAACATTTGGCTGTCGTGTCTTCTTACAGAAACCCTCATCCCAGATAATGCCTTCCCACAGTCAGTCCGACTGCAGCTTGAAGCAGAAGGAAAGCCCTGCATGTTTGTGTTCAAGAGCAAAGGGTCAAAAGTCATCAGACCAGCTGCCAGATGACATCACAACATTGGATGATGCTGTGATGAAATATTTCAGTACCAGTATAGGATTTGTATAGAAAACAACATCCATATATTTTGAAATCTTGATCTTTGTTAATAACACAATCTGCAGTTGGTACAAAGATTTTCTGAAAATATAGGAATGTTATTAAGTGTGATGCTGAATAATGAAACATTTTAAGGTATACTAGCTTGCACTGTTTATAGCTTGCCTTCCTACACACCATATGTGTCTACCCCAGGCTCTTCCTGTAATAGGAAAAGCACTGCTAGTACTAACACAGTGGCTTATCAGTGCATACTGTGGTCTTGATTCTCAAGATTATTGTTTCCAGACCCAGGCTGTACCCGCACAGTACTACAGGATAACACACAACACTGAAGAATGTACTCAAGGGCTAATAAGTATAACTATTATATTTTTGCTGTATGTGTAGATACATTCTATAGGAATGTCCATGTTCTAAGATGTTTAAATTTATACAGTATCTACATGTACTAACATCTGGTGCTTTCAAACTACTGTCACTAAATGATTAAGTCATAGAGGTTGACATTTGTACTTCTTACTTGATGGTGGAAAATAAGTCTGAATGAACAACAAACAGTAACGGTCAGGCTTTTATGGATTTCTCTCAGTATTGGTGCTCAGGTAGCTGATCTGTTTTCAGTTGTGTAATCTGTTTATGACTTTATAATCTGTTTATTTTCTTTCACCTGTTGATTTGTTTTATAAATGTTGTTCTAATTTGTACTAATTACATTGCCTATGTTTTCTCTTGTTTTTTAATATCTTCAAGTTACTGTTGCAGTTGAATAATTTACAATGTGTCATGTGGAACGGATTGTTAACCGCTTTAATTCTTGTGAACAGGAAGATAAAGATTAACTGATCATTGGTGCCATGGGTGAGTGAAAGTGATCATCACTCATCTTGATAATTTTGTATTTATTAACAGATGATTGATAAATTAGTTTATTATCTTCAATCAGATGTACAGCTCTTCAACAAGTGTATAAAGTATGTTGAGCTGTTTAATTTGTTCATCTGAGATGACACACCAAATCAAGATTTTCTATTGATGCACAAATTGCATGCCAAATAAAGTTGCACTTCTACAGGTCTGATATGTATTCTTTTCATGTGTCTGAACATGAATTTGCTCACAAATTACTACTGGGTACGTAGAATTTTTATGTAATATGAAGTATATGAAATCATTGTGGTGATATTTCTAACAACACATTATATTCAACCTTTTTTCCAAACCCTTAAAAAAATATATAATCGGTGGCAATTAACATGGTGCTTAGATTAAGTGACCTTTGAGTAGTAAATTAGGAGATCATGGTCATGAATCTGATAATACATGTCGTTAAGTTAGGTCAGTCTTCACACAGAGTGGCTTTTGCAAGCCAAGAATTAGTATTTCAATTGCTGAGATACATAGGTACGCAACACATCCCCTAAGGGAATTAAAGTACCAGTTCTTACCTGTGTTGGTGTTGTACATGTACAACTTTTGGCAAGAAAAATGCTTAATATCACCACCATTCCAGGGTGGTGTTTACACAAATTTCAGAGATGACTAGTTCACCATCATTGCAACATCTTTTTATGATGTAATAATATATGTATATGCTGATGCTCAAATTTACATTGCATATAAAAAGGAATATTGTCACAATATTGCACGGTACATATCTTCCATGTTACATTAAACTGTATTCTTAACTGTTATCCATAAGTTAAAACAAATGCTTATGTTCATTGTTACATACAGGTATTTGTAAGCTGATTATATTTGGCTCTGATGTGTGAAATACTTCTTTTGGAAATAACAATTTCCAACCTATCACAGTTTGGACTGTAAAGGTGTGGTCCTCCTAATGGCATCCACGTCAATGGCCATAGGAGTGTTCTCAGTGCCAGGTTCAGGGTAGTACGCCCACGGAGCCTTGGTACTGGGCACCCCGGCTATAGGTGCATGGACAGAGATTCTCGGGGTGTAAAATGCTTCCACTATGAAGAGAGCATGTTGGCAGGTCTCTGCACAGAGGGACAGGAGCTGGGAATACAGGCAGGGGTAAGACGTTATCTCCTAACGGGAGGGGTCCAAAGTCCGGCAGGGGTCCAAAGTCCGGCATAGTTTTAAAGATTATTATTATTATGTTATGCATGGGTAAATCCACATAATAAAAACAACTAGTTATGGAGCAAGACGTTATGTAAAAAATAAGTCGGGAATTTTGTCGAAGTTTATTGCTCAGACTGCTAGCGATTGAAATATTTGTTTGAATTTAACGCTTTTCGCGGAGTTTGACGAGGGAACGTGTCCAGCACATAGCCTTCAGAACTGTCAAATCATTCATCCTAGAGTGCGACGTGCAAAGATTTTACCACACACATGACAGGTGATTATTATACTTTCCATAGAAAACGTATCATGGCTTCACATTGTCCTTATCCTTAAAAAATCGAAGCTAAAATAACGGGCAGATGTTTACGCCTAGCGGCCCGCCATCTTTACTGAGCCGCTACGAACACGCAGCCGGGCGATACAACAGAATGAAGTTTGATTTTAAATTGTCAACTCGTCGGTAGAGTGCCGACTATTCCCGAAAATCAAACCCTACCTCTTTAAAAAAAAACGTAGCCACTACTCCTGTCAAAAACAAGGCTGAAAAGACGATCAAGGCAACCGAAAGCGGATATATTTGGGCGCATGCAGTTGTTGTCAACAACGCCGCCATTTTGTTTCTTAGCGGCGGGGTGATTTCGCTTTCACTGATACTATGAGGGAGAGTTGTAGCTAAACGCATTGGAAAAAGTGGCGTAATAGAAGATGTGGCACACGTTTGGGACCGAAAAATAGTATTGTAAACTTATAATATTATTATGTTTGCAGGGAGTGCTGGAATAGTCACAGTAATGACTAGTTTGTTACGTATGCCTGAGTTTGGACCCCCTTTTGGTGTTGGAACGTTCCACGAGAACGCAAAGCAAAAACCTGCCGTGACTCTCTTTTGCTGTCAAACTGCAGTTCGGAACGCTACCGTGAAATGAAATATACGTCTGTACAGCTTAAATCACGGATGTATTGCTGTTTCAAGATCTAACCTTATTTTTGCTGGGTTTAGGGTCAGATGTACAGTAACAAAATACGTGCGTCAACAAGTAGAACAGTATGCCGGACTTTGGACCCCTCCCGTTACTGTGTGCAGAACAGTATGTCACACCTCACTAACACTAAGCTCAAATACATGTGCCAATATTTTGTGCTATAAAAGTTTAGTGTACTGTTGCAAGCAGCAACTGTACAAAACATAATGTCTTCTGTGTACACACCATTCTATATCTCTCTCAGTAGAACTTAGTAGGATAAGATGATGATATGTTTGTAATGCTGAGCTGTCCTACCTGTTGCCTGAGTTCATTAGTATTGGCAGGTGTGTAGTACCCATGCTCCAGGTACCAGGCACGGTCCGTGTACAGGGCATGGGTCCCATACAGCTGGCAGAACTGCAGTACAACAAAACACAATACACATGAATAGGTTGCACATATATGAATAACTCTGGACCTTTGTAAGGATATGTTTCAACAGTCAAACATGAGTACAGATGCTGTTAAACATTTTGCTGTAAATGACCTAAATTTCTATCCACTCCTGGACTAGATTTGAGATCTCTGAAGGGTCATGTTATCCCAAATGGATTTCTTATGTCTAATGTACATAGCAGAAATCTCTGCCCGATAAGAAAAATAATCCACCCACCTTGTCCAGAATGTCTTTCTCCTGTTGACTGGGACATCTGTCCACAGCAGCCACAAACTGTTCCAGGCAGACTGAAACCAAAAGTACAACACAGTCACCACTGAACTATTTACAGATCATGATAGAGTAGTATACAGAATATCCATTACACAGACATACTACATGTGTATCTACATCCGAATGATGCAAAATTCTACCCTACTCACAGTGAAAGAAAAACAATGTGGAAGCCCAGCTGCAGCTTACTAACCTAGACCTAACAAATGACGTTTTTACCTCGCTGTATGTGACACTTGGCCAGTGCCTGTGTGTGGTGAAGACAGGAGTTCCAGGCCTGAAATGCATCTTCTCCATCTCCAACCTACAAACACGTCAAACATTCCTGTTCAAAAACCTCCAAATGAAGCAAATATTACAACTAAACAGAAGCAGAAGGAGATATGAAAGACATTTCCTCATCATTCTCATGACTTGTGAACCAACACATGGTACCTTCTTTATCATCCTCCCAGCCAGTTTCCTCAGCATCCTCCCTTCTCTAAAGGACAGAGCCTTCATCATCCCTGAGGCACTCAGCACTGACTCTGTACCTACTGCAAACATGCTACAGGGGCATACCAATAGTGTTCAGTCTTGACTGTAGGAAGAAGAAAATGTTTCAAAGAACAATTAAGGTAAAACCAATTGCAATTTAAATCACTCAGAGTGTCTTCACGACTGATAAGATAAATAAGTAACATTAACTGCTTTCAGTAGACAGGTAAAGAAACTATGCATTAAAAAGCAATAACACAGTGCTCTCTATATCTCTTTAAATTAAATAACAGTTGACTTTGTTATTGTCTTTAACTTCCATCCAGCTGGTAGGATTATAAATCCATCTATCAGGTGTAGAGCTGACCTTGTTCTGATGTACTCAGCTGTCTCCTGTTGCAGAAGTGACAAAGTCTGTAGAACACGGTTATCTCCCAGCTTCTGTCCAAACACTGCCAGCAGTTCTTTCACCACTTGCTACAGGCAGATAGAACATAAAGTACAATGTAAATGTGTTGGCTTCAACTTCATATGGTAGTGATGGAAGCAAATGTCCAGGCAGGAACTTCAGTGTGTAACCCATGCAACTTGTTCCATCTACATGTAGTATTATCTTTTCTTCACTGTGATAAAGATTTGAAAGGTGGAAGTTGTGTTATTACCTGGTATAGAACAGTGTTGTCACCTTCAAATGTCACAAAGACGTCACAGTCTTGCTTTAAACCTGCCAGCCGATTCTCACTCATGTAGCCCTTCAAGACATCAAACAGGTGTGAAATGGGATTAGCATAATAGAAGTGACTATTAGGTAATACTAGAATAATTGAAGATTTCAATATTATGTTTTACAAGCACCAGGATATACCAGTTTTACCAGCACAGGTGAACAAAAACCCTGCCCTCCTCACCATTCCTCCGCAGCATTCCCGGCAGGTTTGTAAACACTGCAGATTCTCCCATGTAGCGTAAGCCTTGAGACCAGAGGCCAGGGCCTGGATGGACCTGTTGTCCACCAAGTCTCGCTTGTGGAAGAAATCATCATCAAGCATGTCAGATGCATATCTGAAGGGCAGAAAGGATGCATCAATCAAAGTGATGAAATGAATTCCTGAAAAGGAGTCTTCAAGCAAAAAATAAAAATAGTTGACTTGAGAAAAAAGATGTTACATTGAGCAGCCTTCTAATATACCAGAATAGCAATACACATGTACTTGCTTTGTAGCCTTTCCAAACCACAACAGATGAACAAAAGATGATAAGAATTCTGACCTGTTGGCGAAGGTGACAGCCAGACAGGTGGCCAGGTTAGGCATGAGTCGCAGCTGGTGTGTCTGGTAATGCATGATGGGAACTTCTGGGCCATCTCCTGGACCAAACTGGACACGTCTACAATGTACGTGTAGATATTATTATATGGGAACATTCTGTCAACATGCAAAATGTTCTTGTAACAATTGCTTTATTGACAAAAACAAATCCCTTTGATTTTTAAGGAATGATGGTGTAAAAACCGAAAGGGGCGAGCAGGTCACAACCAAATTGTCCGCTTGGCGGTTAGCACTGTTACAGATGGCAATAGGAAAACCACTGCATATTAAGGAATTGATTAATTGATGTGAACTCACACAACATGATGACACAATAGATAAATATCCTACACTTACTTGAAAGCATATCTGATGGCTATTTCCAAAGCAACCTATAAGGGAAGGAGATAAAATGGAACAAAAAATAGATATCAATATCAATAAAAAAGCATTAAGATTCTAGGTGATACAAACATGTACGCGTATTTACGTTAAGTATTTATAAGTTGACAATTTTGACACAGTTAGCACATTTGAGATGAAAGAAAATCAGCATTCAAGAAATTCTGTGCAAGCAAACTCAGCATTGGCAGCACACTACAGAATTGTGTGTACCTTCATACTGGCTGTTGCTTGGTTGGAGAGTGCCAGCCGTGTTGCCACCAGTGCTGCTAACATGGCATTAAACCTGGCGTTGTGACTAGGGATGGAAGTGGTGTACTCTCCTTCTGCACTTACATCTGCAAACCTGAGCAAATCATGGACATCAATAAGTATGAACAACAGTAAGTGTTCTATGTTTTTTATCATTCGTATGCTGATATCAGAAATGTTACCTCTGAGTTATAATGTCGCATGCACGCTCATTCCTCATCCTACACAGCACAGATGTTATAGGTTTACACCCACCTGTTGAGTAGATTCTCTCTTGGTGTTCTTGCTCCAGTGAAGTGTAGGATGCCATTATCTACTCCATTCAGTCCTGTAGAAACACATATACAGTGGTGTATATTTTTTTTACAAAGATAAACAGTAAACATAAGTATGATTCAGCTGAAGACAAAAGATACTGTGTTAGACTTTTTTTGATTGAATGATAGGCAACATTAACAAACCTTGTTAAGATTAAATATGTTAATATGTTTCTTCTGAAGTTTCTAAGGCTTCCTACACACCTTCCTTCAGACCCATGTCTGTAACACTGACTCCTGGGTACAGGTTTCCTTCTGCATCTCTGATGGGCACTATGAAACAGTGGGGACCTGAAGATACCCATCAAAAAGGATGATATCAGAATGTACACTTCATACTTCCAAAACACACTTTATTGCCTGCATGTATTTTACATCTTTCCATACCTCTTTTACTCTTTGTAAATCCATGTACAAGACACATTGTAAGCACTGGGTTATTCACCCTGCATGTAACTATATAAACAAGTGTAGTATTATCCTGCAGCATACAGCACAAAGTCCTATTTGCCATGTGATGCTGCAGTGACAAGATGGAGACTGACCCTTGGACTCCTGACCAATGATCAACTGAGCAAACACAGCAGCATAGTTCCCTTGGAGGGCATTTCCAATGTAGAACTTCTGGGCATCCTCACATGGGGTTGTAATGATAAACTCCTGGAAGTAATAAAACAGAACACATATGGCTGGCATACAATGTGTGATTTTAAATCGTACCTTCCATCTTTTTGAAACTTGTCTTCTTCAATGCAATTGAATAAAAATGGAGGACATGCTTAAAAAGAAGTATTTCAAACAAACATATTGTAGTACATTTGTGTAATATAGTAATATATCTTTGCTTCCAAACCTAGAGACGAGCCAGATAAAAGTTTTAACTGACAATTAATTCAATACAATTGTGAGCTAAGAATTGGGACCCGATATTGGTCGATTTCGCGCGCTGATGCGCGCGCGCGTAAGTGGCCACGCCGTAGCGGCGCTGCGCGCGGGCGCGCATAACGCCCCCCACTAGCGACGCTGCGCGCAGTTTGTTGGTACGACTATGGATTTTGTTGGTACGCGAAACCTGCCAGATCGGCCCTTGTCTGCGCGCGCGCGTATAGCGCCACGCAGTAGCGGCGGTGCGCGCACTTTGCCTGGTAAGCCTGGGGAATGTGTTGGCGCGCGCGTAGAGCCGAACCAGGCCTTGGTTGTGCGTGCGCAATTTCTGCCATTTACGATCGGCGTTGCGCGCAGGAATTGTCTGGCGCATTCGTACGTGTTCTGGTGCCTTTGATTTTGTTTATCCTGATATCTTTAATTTTGTATGATGTTTATCTTACGTATCCACACTATACAGTAGATGTCGCTTTTTTTGAAAAGCCAATTTGCCAGCGCATTTTTTCAATTACCCGGCCTTTCCGGCTCAAACTCTCGGACTTGAAACGATGGGGGTGGACAGGGCATCGAACACAAATAACGACACAAAGAATACAAACACGGGTCATGTTTAAACAGTGAACTTTATTTAGATCAGTAAGTTTACTTGTAATATTTTTTCATTTACGTATTTTGTTTTTCTTTTCACAGTAATATAACTGGAAGAAAGCTGCGATATGTTAGCTATCATGTGCTCTCCGCTCCAACTCTACTCTACTCCAACACTGCTGTGTTTGCTACGTACAAAACAAGCCACGAATACATGCACAATCAATTTCATCAGCCTGTACATACGTTTACATCACAAAAAGTAGCAAAAATAAAGTTTGATCAACGGAAAACTTCAATAAAGTAGCGTACAGACTAGACGTCAGACGCTCGTTATGCACACGATCGTCATGAAACTCGTCGATATCACAAAGAATCTCTTCGTTGTTACCTTCATACATAATTTTCAGAAACTCCGACTAGCACACGAAAATAATCGTTACTAATGCAACAATAAACTGTTCATTTCAATGTTAAGGACTTTTTAGCTTTCGGTGTCCGAAGATTACATGGAAATTTGCATGACGGAGCACAATAGCGTTCAGAGGAGGAAACAAAGATGGCGGACGTAGCGTGGGTAGCAGTATCCCGTCATTCAAAGCGGTGTTGTTGTTTTTTTCGTGGCACATTTGGCGTGTTGATGCGGCGATAGCGCCGTGTCGCAGTCGAAATAAATCTCAGAATTTGTACATTGTACAATCAAGCCGAAAACGTTGGGGTGTGCGTTTCAAACAGCCAAGGACGTAATATAACTGATGATGACAACGACGCCACGACATTTTGAGTTTTTCCGGTTGGATTTGAAAAGATGTTTGCTTCGAATTCGTTACATACATGTCGGAAGGGAATATGACTTGAGACTCCGCAAAGTTTGCTTATACACACACAAAAAAAACAGTTACTCAAGGAACTGGATATGATTTTGGAAACGGTCAAACAACGTCTCTCCATGTAGCACACTACATTTTTGCCAGATCACAATATTCCTCCGGGTCCGACCATTTTGAGTAAAACCATGGATCCCTTTATGCCTTTTTTAACCATGGAGTTAGAAGGGCTATTACTTAGCCTACCTGGGCAAAAATACGCAAAAAAGCTACTTAAAGTATACTCTAGATACATTTTATTGCTTGCACAGAATAAGGTGGCCTTCTAATATTAACTTCTACATTGGGATTTACGACTCCGTCGCTATATTAAACTTCCCTTTACCGTTGAAAATAACAAAATGGCGACAGTGAGGTTGTGACGCTATCCCGTCATCCATTGTGGTTGCTTGATAGAAATCAAGGAGGTTAAAAATCAAAGTGAGAGAAAAATTATTTGTACACATATTTAGCATTCGGTCCTTTAGCTATTAGGAGTCAAAACAGAGAAATGTGCCGCGACCGGAGCCTGCAATGTGAATTTTATCCATGACAAGGTTTGCGCCGGGTATTTTTTAGAGAATACAATTCTACCTCTATGGATATACCCGTACCCAGAAAGTTTGATTGAAAGGAAGCTGGCAATTTGGCAAGACTGTCTTATAAAAGTCAGTAAGTTAATTGTTTGCCTTCCCCTAAAGGACTGGGAGAACTATTCGTTGAGAAACTTCACCGAATCACCGAAAATACGGCATGTAGAGTCGGCGACAGATTTATCTTAAAGAGTATATGTAGAGTAGAGTATTACGTATGTAGCATGAATGTCCGCGAGAGTGTGATGGCTGGTCCTTGTAAATTTACGAAGTCATGCATAAGTAGGAGCGCTGCACAAATACTAGTATGAGAATATGTGTGAGTCGGTCAACTATTCGAATTCGAAGCAACTGCCGCCTCGCCCCCTATAATTTCGTACAAAATATCGGACCAAAGTATTCCTTTATCGGCTCCCTTCATGCCTTAGACTTGTGAATATAGCTAAAGACACATTTTATTACATCTTCAGAATAAGGTGGCGTACTATTACTAGCTTGTACCAAGGACGTTCAACAAGACGTCCTTGCTTGTACAAAGGGATTTGCAACTTCCCTCGCCTCTCTACCAAAACAACAAGCTGACAAGATGGCGACTGTCAACTGGCGACGCTATCCCGTCATCCATTGCCCGACCGTATCGGCTTGACAAGCGACTTCGCGGTAAGTGTTATAAAAAATACAACTGATGATAAAAATAAAATAACGACATACTCAAGCTCATAGCTTATGTTCGTGTCGTCATCAAAACAAAGAACATTACAGATGTATGTCAAAACAAACACAGGCATTCAAAGCATAAGGGTAACAAAGTACATTGTATATGATAGCAGTTATGTATGAAATATAAGAAAATGATAATGAAGCGTTGTACGCAGGTAAATTGTAACTATGTATTCCACGTCAAACAGGATAAAAAATTGGTTACTCGAATATTTTGGTTTCTTTTAGAAATAATTGTACACATCTACATTTCGTCGTAGGTTGTATATCTTTTCAACCAAATCAATAACAACATAGCATGAAATAGAATAACACAACATAACATCAGGCATGAATAAACTGTCACAAGAAACAGATTAAGTGAATCTTCGAAAAAGGGCCATGATCTTGGTCTGTTACAGATGCAGAGCGTCTGTATGCATGCTTTGTAGATTTTAGTAAAGCTTTTGATTCCGTCTTTTTTCAGACTGCTACAACATCAAACCAAATAAAACCACCATAAGTAGAATTTCATGATCAGGGGACGGACAGAAGCCCGCAATGCAGTAATCCCCGTATGTGAATTAAGCACGCTGCACGTGCAAAGCGAAGTAATTATGTCAAGATGTGAGGTTAATTTACTAGGACGAAAAACTGCAACCTCAACGCCAACATTGCTAAGGCTGCTACTTGGCAGGAGTAATGCCGACTTGGTGTACTTGCCCTGGTTAAATAAAATGAGTGAATGTGTGGTTACGGTGCGTCGTACGGGGAGTCACGACAAGAAGACAAATCTTTGTGCAAGTTAGTCATGCAACTTAAATGCAATGATTTTAGTCAATTTTTNGATAATGAAGCGTTGAACGCAGGTAAATTGTAACTATGTATTCCACGTCAAACAGGATAAAAAATTGGTTACTCGAATATTTTGGTTTCTTTTAGAAATAATTGTACACATCTACATTTCGTCGTAGGTTGTATATCTTTTCAACCAAATCAATAACAACATAGCATGAAATAGAATAACACAACATAACATCAGGCATGAATAAACTGTCACAAGAAACAGATTAAGTGAATCTTCGAAAAAGGGCCATGATCTTGGTCTGTTACAGATGCAGAGCGTCTGTATGCATGCTTTGTAGATTTTAGTAAAGCTTTTGATTCCGTCTTTTTTCAGACTGCTACAACATCAAACCAAATAAAACCACCATAAGTAGAATTTCATGATCAGGGGACGGACAGAAGCCCGCAATGCAGTAATCCCCGTATGTGAATTAAGCACGCTGCACGTGCAAAGCGAAGTAATTATGTCAAGATGTGAGGTTAATTTACTAGGACGAAAAACTGCAACCTCAACGCCAACATTGCTAAGGCTGCTACTTGGCAGGAGTAATGCCGACTTGGTGTACTTGCCCCGGTTAAATAAAATGAGTGAATGTGTGGTTACGGTGCGTCGTACGGGGAGTCACGACAAGAAGACAAATCTTTGTGCAAGTTAGTCATGCAACTTAAATGCAATGATTTTAGTCGATTTTTTTTGTCAATTTGTACCTTTAGAGATGTTTTTGATCATAAGATAAAGTTCTACCTTTTGCACATACTACAAGAACTTTCAAGTAACATTAAGATAAATCTTAATATTGTTTCTTGCTCCGTGAGATTGATATCAAACATTTTAGAAAAAAATATCAAGATTGTTCTTAGATTTCTTTACGAAAAGCTTAACAAGGGCTTTGGATGAACTTCATGTCGTGTTGAAAAAAATTGGCATTCGCCTTACTAACCTGTACCTGTGCGTCATGATGAAGAGAAGTCACCATCTTTAAACTCTGTCAGATTTTGGTGTTTTGTCGCTGGTTGGAGATCGCAAAGACGCTACTCCGCTGTGACTTACCGTGTGGCGGAAGATGACCCGGCCTCTTTAGAGGTGTATGCGCAGAGGCTTGAAAACTTAAGGTAAGATGATTTGGTGTTGTTTTATTGGCCTATGCCATAGCTAATCCTATGGTAATGTAGGGTTGATGAGATTGGCTACGTTCGATGTGCGAAAGTTGCTATGCTACTCTTCTGTACTGACCAAGCAGAGACTGTTTTGATATATTTTTCGTTATGCCAAGATACAAAAAGAAAAGCTGACAAACTATAAAGCTAATCAAAAACGTTTGAAGACAGAAGATGAAGTCCACTTTGCAGTAGCTAGATTGTACTTTATATAGTAATGATAGAAATTATCTTTTTAAGATATATTGTCAATGTCATATACATGTATTACAAGAACGTTACCATCTCTCCCATCCCTGACTAATATCGAAAAAATCATCTTTCTTAATATGGGCTTTTATCATCCTGTATTAAACAAACCCATTTCAAATTATATACTTTATTTAACATCACACAGAAACGAGAAGAGGCCGAACCTCTGTATTAGAGTAGTTTTAGAGCTGTTTGTACTACAGACATGTATGTACCTTTCATCTGTTCACCTGTACTTAGCCCGATACGCGATAGGGCATGAATGTACAATAATAAAGGTTATCTGTTATCATCTTACGATTGGTCTCGGTGTTAACTAAGCGGGTACAGTCAAATACTGAATAAGGTATCCTGACGTACCGGGCTTAAATAATACATTCCCTGATGACAAGACTTGAAGTATTTCATCAAGTGTTGTAAAGTTCGTACTTGCCAGCTACGCAGAGAGTCCTGGTTTCTCCTTGGAGACGAAACCTGGGTTTTGCGCCCTTGGCCTTGACATGTTTGTAGGCTTCGCGGAGCTGTCACGGCTTCTTCTCCTAGCTGGATCGACAGGTAAGTGCTCACTGATTCCGACGCCTGACTTTAGCTCTAGACGGTAGGTACGGCGCAGGACAACTTCCCTCTCAGGCATTGAGTCGAATTTTACGATGATCGGATTACCATTTCATACGCTATATGCGTTGGACATTAACGAAGGAGAAATCAATTCTGGAATTCATGACACCCAGTTTGTCGACAAGTAAGTTGTAAGCTTCTTGTACCACAGCTTCCTCTGCCTTGAAAATGAAATACATCACCACATCAAAGTAAACGACAAAACAATATATTAAAGTCTTGTCTTCATATCGGATCGGCCATCCACGTTCCGGCATGGCAACAGGCATCTTTGCCCGTTTTCGGCATTTTGACCACTGTTAGGGGGCAACAAAATTTCTTGTTTTTCCCAACTAGCGAACATTAAGACGTATTGACTTGAAATTCGGAATTCATGATCGAGAGACATAATTCCGAACAGAACTTTTGAAGGTGACACAGCTAGGACCTGCCCAGTATAGATGATTATTAAAAACCGGCAATATATAAATAATATAAATTATGACATGACATCGCGTGTTTGGGGGGTGGTATCTGCATTTCGCCCCCGAAATCGGTAATAATTATACTGACAGTAAATAGAATCTCTGCTCTTTCACACACATTTCCTGTCGGATCAAAACCAACAACACGTTAAAAATAAAAAGGCAATTCGCACTTATATTCGGGTGGGATTTATCAGACCGTATTGGTAGGGGTTATACCGCCGCTAACGGGGTGATATACCCTTCGGATGAGGTTATTGAAAGACTAACGAAAGGTCATTGGTTAGAAATTTTATAGGAGTAGTAAATGAAGCTTAGATACTAGTATTATGAATAACTTTAGATTAGGAAGACACATGGTATTAGAGTCCAGCGACAACCTTTCAAATAAGGCGTGTTAGACTACTTTCTCTCGCGGAAGCGAGGCTGTTGTACGTACACGCATCTGTATTAGTGCGCGTGTTTGTTTGGTTAGTAACAAAGCATGACCTTTGACATCTATTGTCAGTATGTTAATTAGTGACGTCACCAAAGGTTATTATCCAGCGTGGGTTTAGAAGTTTGGTCACGCGTGGGTGCAGCTCCGATAGAAATGTTTCACTTCATCGCTCCCCGAAGACACGCTGCAAGGTAACTGATTACGCTTATAATAGTTTGATAATTCTCATCTGTTTTCTCTTCTAGTAGTATGCTATGCTTAAGCTTTCTGCCTTTTTATGACCTTGCTAGATAGGTGTTCTTTATTTATTATTTGTTACTTCCAGGATTAATGTTTCGTAAGTTTCAAGGACATTGTACAAGTCTTACAGGCTTCTTTCCTCCTCCTGCACTCTGTTTATTTCTTTGTTTTGCATTTGTTGATTAATGTTTTTATTTGTGCAAAGGGATAAATGAAAACTGCAATATTTGGAGCTCCTTGCTTAAAGCCAAGTATTGATAATTGCAGCAAAAACGCTACGTTGTTGTCAAACATTTGAATATCACACACCAGGAAGCACGAAATACGCTAGAGCTGCATGATACACCAGTTGTTTGACCATTTTCCTCCTTCAGCTTACTTGCAAGTGTGTAATATCTTAATCCCGAGCTATTATTGTTGTTGACTATAATAGTATAATACTATTGACTAAGCACGAGATGCATGCGCGCAACGCCGATCGTAAATGGCAGAAATTGCGCACGCACAACCAAGGCCTGGTTCGGCTCTACGCGCGCGCCAACACATTCCCCAGGCTTACCAGGCAAAGTGCGCGCACCGCCGCTACTGCGTGGCGCTATACGCGCGCGCGCAGACAAGGGCCGATCTGGCAGGTTTCGCGTACCAACAAAATCCATAGTCGTACCAACAAACTGCGCGCAGCGTCGCTAGTGGGGGGCGTTATGCGCGCCCGCGCGCAGCGCCGCTACGGCGTGGCCACTTGCGCGCGCGCGCATCAGCGCGCGAAATCGACCAATATCGGGACCCCATTCCTACCTGCAATTGTGGTTTAACATGTGTGAGTGCATCTGGCCTTACTCCATTCTTGCACACTGAAAAATTGTATGGGAGCCTAAGTTGTCCATTGCCTATTGCTTATTGTTTTGTATTGCCCTAACATCTCACCTGAGTATTCCTGTCATAGTGAGCTTCTGTCAGGATGTTTCTGACGTTGCTCCCGTGGCCCTTCTCTGACATGGCAAACATCCCCGTGAATTCTAAATCCTGCAGGATGGAAGAAAAGTCAGAAATTTTCCTTCTTTTCAGATTAAATTGGAAGATCACAAAGTAATGATTAAATATCTAACCTTGAGTGGCTGGAACCACTTGACCACATGTTGTTCTGAGCCCAGGTTCATCACGGCTCCTCCAAACAGCCAGGCCATCACGCCCATCTGTGAACATGAACCAGACAGTATGACTGGCAGCCTCTGTCAGATGCATCTGAAGGACTTTGAACAAAGTAATGAATACTTTGGGAGCATGGCTTTATAAAGTTGACACATCTGTGAAATGATTGTTTGCCTACTTTATAAATCTAAGCTTAGTTATTCAACAGCTGTATCAAGTCTAAATGTAGTAAATCACTTAACATACCTATTATATCTCAACTTCCTGGCAGGTAACGTTAACTCTGTTTTGTCAATCACTTCAACCCTTCAGCCATGGCCAACACTGGCAACAGCACTAAAAGGTTTAATTATAACAGTTACATCCATATAGAAATGGGACATACGTGTAGTACTGAAGACAGCTGATTACAACCTTGACTCCAACAGACATGTCCACGCAGGAGAAGACTTCTCCTATAGCCAGGCTGCTACTGATGAAGCCTTTCTTATTGGCCAACTGGATAGAAGATAAATAGATATTACCCATTAAATGTACATTACATTGTAATACAGAGAAATAATCATAATGAATGGACATAGTTTTATATCCTATTGAAATCTGAACTGCTTATTTCATAATATTAATTGAAAATCCCATTTCCCAGGCCTTTCTACCTTTTATGCTCTATAATGGTACTGACTCAGAGGTAATAATAACAAGTTATAGTGATGAAAATTATTACAACCAACCTACGCATACATACCTGGTCGGCAAACTGCTGCCTACTTTGTGGCAGAGACAGGAGGAACTTGGCTCTCTTGAGTGTGAGTTCACGTAACTCATCCACTGGGAGTCAAACCTGTAACATGTACGTTAATGTTACAAAACACATTATACTCACATGTCTTTGAGCTAACGGTCTTCACATTTAATATATTGAGAGGTCGCAAAAGTGTTGCGACTTGGAGACCCGTTTGCACTCTAAGAGAAGATATCGTACCTTTGTACAAATAAATCATTGTCCTCGATTTCCTTCCTGAGTCGGTCCTTCAGTTCCCAAAATTCCCCATCGATGTATCGCGAGGGTTTCACTTTCTGGTCGTCAGACGCCATTTTGGATAGATATGGGTCAACGACCTTGCGGTCAGGATATCGGCTGCGCGTGAGAGTCAGCTGCTGGGCCTGGGTCCGATCAATGATAGCTTTCCTTCAGCCAACTGAAATGTCCGCGCTTTCACTTCAAGCCAAAATCGGGGTTCACTATCACTGGATTAGTAAGGATCATTTAAGTCCCGTTGATCCTACCATGGAGTTAAAATACTCCATGACCCTAACAAGGAGGTTCCTTGATCCTACTTCACTTCAGTGTTAACTTCATCACGATAAAAGACCTCCAAAGCTTGGGTTAAGTGAGGTCTAAAGAAACTTTTCCACTGTCAAACAACATTGATTTTCAACTGTTAGCGTAAATTACTAAATAGATGCTGCATCTAGTATCGTGCAAGTTCTCACTGCAGCTCAACAATAGCTTTGACACCTGTTAACTGCAGTGAGCTTCCTTGTCGATAGGTGTCGTTTCAATGAGATGTTGCGTCACTCGTCTGACGTGTGGTTAACGTTTTCAAGAACGTCGCAGGGACGTACAGAAACCCTGTTAAAGTGACGTGGATCTTACGTCCAGCTTACTTAATCTGCATTTCCCAATGCCATTACAGCAAAAAGAGACATTTCTCCGATCTGACTGTATCCATGGCAACTGTTGCGTGTCTAGAATCTCCGAGATAATAACACTTGTCCTGACAAGACTTTCGGTCGTTTCTCTTTCTGTTCTGGCCCCTGTCGATCTCTATCAGGCATGTTAACTATAAAAACTCTGACCACAGTCAGTAGGTACCTCTCTGACAATCCTGTCTTCAAAGGGTAGCACTAGCGATTATCGCTTCTCGGCCCTCGTGGCTAAGATCAGTGTGTAGTGACTGTTCTCGTCAGCGTGAAAACTGACGGGTCTCGCTACGGCGGACCGTTTTTCACACGGATTTTTGCAGTAGACCATGGAGTAGGTGCTTGCACCGCCCTGGTCCGGGTCGACCCAGCATTGCAGTACTGTTGGGAACGGCCCATCACTTGTAATCAAATGGTAATTGCACACTCACAGACGTCTTTACACTGACCCCCACCTGTCCATTACAGGCAGGTAAACTGTTACATCTATCCCCTGGTCATGGTCCCAGGTTAATTGTACCTTTTAGTGGCGCATGTCCATTGAAATTGGATAGTGTGACTGCAGACAGGTCTAAGGTATCAAAGCATTTACAATGTAGAATATTACCGGTGTGGAAGACACTGATAAATGCAACAAAAGTTGCATGATAACTTGTTTAATCAGTTTGATATGCAAGCAGCACAAAGATTGAGTTATCTTCTGGAATGTTACGATTAGCATTAATTTGTTAACATCCTTCCACCATAAAGAAGGTTGCAGTATAAAAATACATGCTTAAGGAGATTATGGATGCCAAGATGTTTTGGATGTTTTCCAGCAACCAAAAGTACCAGCACCTGTTGCTTCATCTTTCAGAGTACTGGGCAGTACAGTATTAACTAATGGTATTTGCCAGTACCAATAAACAGTACAATGTACTAGTATGTCACCCCAGGCTGCTAACTCTACAAGACATCTCTTCAACATGTCCTACCAGCTTGGTGTAGTTTGGGGTACTTTTTCCTCTGATTTTCTTTATGACTGCTGTCTGTTTTTAGTATAGGTAACTTGCCCGTAGCCAGGATTTTGAATGGGGGGGTTCTTCCCACTGCTTGAGGGGACCTGGAGCGCCATAGGCGCGAGGCAAGTGCCGAAGGAGCGAGGTTCCTAGGGGGTCCGGGGGCATGCTCCCCCGGAAAATTTTGAAAAATGAACCTTCTAGAATGGCATTTCGTGCATTTTTGAGGGGATTTCCAACAAAAAATCAGAGATAAATTTTTATTCAATGACAAAGGGAGCAGTTTTTCTACGATTCCACTCCATCTTTCAAGAAAATCTTGGACCTTTCCATAAAATGTGGACCTAATAGTGGGCCTTTCCATAAAATGTGGACCAAAAAGTGGACCTTTACATAAAAAGTGGACCAAAAAGTGGACCTTTGAGCCTTGTGGGAGGGTTCTTCCGAACCCCCCGAACCCCCCCTGGCTACGGGCATGGGTAATACGACAGCCTTAACTATCCTCCCTGGCTGTTAAGGCTACTAAAACAATATTGCTATCCTAGGTGTCTATACTGTCATGTCATGAAAGCTTGATGTGCTGTCTGCTGAGCCCGTTTCTTCATCTCCTCAGTCTGGAGCTGCTCTAACGTCAGCAGGGACAGGCCCAGCTGGTCCTCCTGTGGCAACATACAAACAGTAAAAAGTGATGACGACATCTGCTTTCCTCATTGGCTTTTTTGCAAGCACAGATGCATCCCTAGGTACTTTCAGAAGAGGTGACTGAATTACTGGAGGTTATAAGAAATAATCATTAAAAGATGTTTGTGACTTCCTTCCTTGAATCCCTGAGTGTTGAACACGCTAACGTTGAGGAAATGTTATACTCTGATACTGAGTACTCAGCCTTGACAGCACCAGTGCACATAAGAGGCGTAGTAATCTACATAAAGAAAAATTGCCCACCCTCCTGAAGGGCTGTGCCATCTGCCTGAGGAACTTTTTGGACACCTGAACAGCCTCGTCTGTCGTCAGGTTACACATGCCATCAGACAGGTACTCCTGGATCCACTTGGGCAGTTTTCCTCGCTTGTCAGAACGAGCAAACCTCTGAGAAATGTAACAGATAGTAGCAAATAACACATTTTGATGTTTACATTCTGATGTTTATACAGAATTCTGATATAGAGCTGGACTTAAGAGTACAGTGGAAGGGGGCGGCCAGTTCACAGCTTGGCACATCTGATCATCATGTCACACTGTATTCAATACCCTTTACATAAACTTAACATCTATGTACAAAGCTTGCAAAGCCTAGCATGGTCTGGTAAATCTACACAACCTAGACTGCTGGTCTATATTTCCCCTACAAACCATCTCTGAATCTTAAGGGGGTCTAATATTAATGTTACCTTGTCTGCAAACACCATGACACCATAGTCTGTCTTCCCTCTCAGAACTCTTCCAACACACTGCAAGATAAACACTGATGATTACTATGTGCTTCCTGAGAGTGCAAGTAACATCCACTTAATGTATTTTGAAATGAGACACATGGAATTTTCCCCACAGGTATCTTGAGGAAGGGTAGTAATACAATAATTTCACAGAGCTGACCTGTGCTGCATGTCTCATGGCATCAAATGTTAGGAAGTCATTTTCCCTGATCTGGAACTGATCTCGCAAGTACTCCAACCTGGCCTGGGGGAAAAACAGAACACAGGAAATGTCACCACAATATTTACCTGTTTTACATTCATATACATTCTAGATTGTTGCAAAGATTATCCTAAATGAATCCTTAGTTGAACATGATGCTGACATACCTTAAGAATCCTGCTCTGTGTGTAGACGTAGGGAATCCCAAACATGACCACTGCACGGCCCAGATGGTGTTCTGGTATAGTTACAGAAAATGAGTTTTTGTATTACATGGTCATTTACATACCAAATTTGTGACACTTGATGGAGTAATGTTTCTAAGGCCACACCGATTTAATTTTATGGATGACATCCGCGAGCGCATTGATTTTCGGCTGTTCTAAAAAAAAAAAGATCATGTCTTCCGAGGTTCTGGTCTGGCTCTGGGCCTGGGTAGTCCATGGTAATTAGCGACAATATGTAGGTGGTAACTCTGGAGGACGGCACCCAGGCTGCCGAAGCTCCACGACTCAAGTACTCAGTACATATGTACAGTGCCGATTCATAAATTCCGCAAAAAGCCAGCATGTGCCGGCTTCTCGTAAACGTCACTATGTAGTGCCGCAAAATTCACAATACCAGCTTTGCATAATCCCATGGTTTAGTAGAATTTTTATTTTTGGCCGGATTTTTTTTATTCGCCCGCGCACACTAGTTTGGGAGTCTTCAGGGGATGTCATCCATAAGATTAAGTCAGTGTGGCCTAATAAAAACAAACTTAAAACCTTGGCTGTAAAGCACATTGCAATTTGTTAACATTATTCCCTCTCTTTTTATAGGGATTTAAACAATTTATTATAGAACAGTATGGAATATCTATTTAAACACATGCACCAAAAAAAGCATTTACTAACATAATGCAAAAAAATCAACTTCACATGAAATCTTTCTTTGATACTGAACATGTATTTGTCTTTCAAAGCTTACCAAAATCAATTCCTTCGGAGACTTTTCCCCTGGCCACAGACAGCAGGATGGCTCCTCTGCCATTCTCACAGGCCTGGGACAAACCAACAGGGAGTCTTCACATGGTGTAACAAGGACATTTTAGTGCAACTTAGGAGATACTCTTAGAGGGTGACTGACAATCTTTTCCAAAATCAATTTCAGCATTTTTTTAGTAAAATACATCACTGGTACCTGTTTCATACATATAGAATACAACACGGGGTATTCCGTATCGCCCGAGGTACCAGCACGACCGCGCGTCGGATCGCCCGACGGCCGAAGGCCGGAGGGAGATCCGATCCACGGGAGAGCTGGGACCGAGCTGAGACCTATCCACCCCTACCTCCTGGTACTTCTGCAGAGCCACGCTGGTCTCTGCTGCACTCTGGGTCTCGATGAACAGGAGTTTATTTCTCTGGACATTTTCAATGATACCCTGAAAACACATTATTGCATGTATAGAATCAAACACATTACAGCATACACATAGTTTACACATAAACCAAACATGAATGTCATAACACTGGAAAAAGTAAAGCTTATCCTAAGCTCCAAAGTTCATGTCACCTACCTGTTCGTACCAGGCCGCTACAGTAGACTCCTGAAAAACAAAGTTCAACACATTACCTGACACTAATAGTACATTGATGCATCACCCTTTACAATGTACACGCTGATTTTATGTTCTCCTGTCTTCTGTCACCAACTTCCTACTAGGAGGCAACTTAATATACTATTAACTCTACCAATGTACCTAAACACAAAAGCCTGGATTGTTGTCTCCCTCCCTTTAGTGAGAGTGTACTCACCATGTAGCTGTAGCTGGTGAAGAAGGCCACAATACCATCTGGAACCACAGCTGACATCGTCAACCAGCAAGTTCCCATAATTCCTGATGATTGACTAACAATCAAGAAAAAGCAGTAGTAAAACAAAGCTGTATCATACATACGGTATTGTCTATGGGTAGGTCCTACATGTATCATCAGTGACATGAAAACATAAGCTGTAAATTTTGGCTACATGTACGTATCATAATGATGTGATTTTAAAAAAGATATGCACGGACACCATGGCATAAAGCTTTAAAAAAGAGGCTTGTCTGAACCTACCAACATCTTCCCTTGACTCAAACTTGGAAGTCATCGTCACCTGGTCATTTCCACGGCCCACAATCTGGGAAAGGCAATCAAAGAAAGGCTCACTGTGACTGCTGCTGACTCACCATAGCGTTTGGACAAGAGTTTACACACCAAGGCTCAAAAACATCATTCCACATCTTTTTTTCCATATTACAACTTGTTTTGGCTGATTGAAGAATGTACAAATTTTGAGCTTTGCAAATTACTGTTGAAGAAGTCTTGCAGGTTTATTATACAATGTACAGTGTTACCTACCATAGGGCAGATACAGGGTCGAGCCAGTGTCATAGTGAAGGAAGCCATGTTAACTGGTCTGAAGTCCAGGATCTTGGGATACATGTCCAGTGGAGACAGGGTCTGATGTGGAACACAGTACAGCATTACATAAACATGACATGGCAAGGCTGTTACTGCAGTAATGGGTTTGTGATCTTTTGACAGATCTTTATTGGCTGGTGATGAAAAATTCAACAAGTGTACTACTTTCACTAACACAAGAGTGGACATTCCAGCATTACTAACCCCTGACGTGATGACCACAGACTGGAACCGGTCAAACACTGGCTTGATGGCAATGGAGGCATCCATACAGCTGTGGGACAGAAACATATAGAAAGACAATTTTACCACAAATATATCAATAATCAGAATGGCCCTCAATGATAGGACATTGTTATAGTAACAAGTGACATGTACAGATGGACAGTAGTCAATCTTCACCTAAAGTTTAGTATAGGGTTAGAGATGGTGGGTGTAAGGTACATACCTGAAGTTGAGTATAGGGTTAGAGATGGTGGGTGTACGGTCGTCAAACGGCTCCATGATGAGAATGAAGCCTTCATGTAGGTGCTGACCAGGGTGCGAAGTTGGCCAGCAGGATGAGAGGGGAGAAATCTGTCAAGTCTGCGATCTCCAGGGTACGGATCAGGGAGTTCAGCCTCTCTGAACAGAACCTGCAAATAACAGGGACAGGTCAGGAAGGGTAACAAGGTACCACATTTCATCTTTAGTTTTTCTGTAACTTGCCAGCAGCATACCTGAATTACTGTACTAAAATGGAGTAGGAAAATACATCTTCAATCTTGCAAATATATGACATTTTTTAAAAACTAAATATACATTTCCTATATTTACATTTATCTAAGAGATAAAACCTTAGATGCCATGAACCTGAGAGGTTTCCTGTCCAGGCACACCTTCTCCTTCAGGTCCTTAAGAAAGGAGGCAGGAGTCTCCTGTACAACATGCTGGATCCTCAGACGTGACTTCAGATACTCCATGAACCTCTTCAGGAAGCCCACAAAGTGCTCTGCAGTCCTGATGTTTCCTGGGACTGCCTCTGAGGGGAACACCTTCATATGGTCATCGCTTGATAAATACACAACAAAGTCTGTTCATTTGAACATGCAAAGAACAACATAGTGATGGTAAACAATGTGTGAATGACAAAAAGGTCAGAAAATGTTGAAACTTACCCTGTAATACCTCATCTGGTAACACTGCATTGGTAAAAGAAAATGAACAAATTATAAACTTTTGAAGACTTACATATATAACAGTGTCATGTATGCTATATTCTGTTGATTTGTAACACGGCAGTTAATTGTTGTTTTTTTAAAACAATCAGTGGCGAGCCCATCAGTCAGAGGTTTAGAAAATTCTGGTCTCTTGTGAAATTCGGTCTTGTTCAAATCTAGCAAGAGAAAAATAAGAAACAAGTCCACTGTCTCTACTGGTGGAGAACGTGACCTGGGTTGGAGAGCACCACGTCTGTTTCCCTGGCTACGTTAGCCTCCCTCAGTCCCTCCACCAGCCGGGAGTACTCCTGACGCAACCTCTGCTGATCCGTGTCCTTTAGTCTACAATCACACACAACAAGTAGCTTTGGATTTGAAGTTTGAAATAGATGAAAATGACAGCCATCAAAGAATTATATCATAAGAAAACATGAGGCAAGTGTAGCTCTTGTAGTTATCTTATGTTAACATTTTGATTAATGAAATTGCAAACTACCGGTATAGCAAACAAATATGTCAGTATTACTTAAGTATGTACATCTGTTACATATTACTGTGATATTTTCCTCCGATGCCAACTGTATTAATGTCATTAGGATACCTCTGCACAGTCCTGGTGAGAGTTTCTACATTAGCCTGACAGCGATCCAGCATCCTTCTGTTGATGGTCACACTCATGGAGTCTATACACACATTGTCTGTAAACAACAGGAGAGGGAAACCTGTCATTGTAGATGGTTATAGGAGAGTAACAATAGCAGATAATGTTAGACATATGATTTGAATAATTTCATGATATCAGCTTGCAAACAGTCATGAAATATCCTAACTATCAGCTACAACCTAACCTAACCTATATTGTGAGCCTCATCAAACACCACCACAGAGTTCTTAGCCAGCTCCTTGGACACTAAGTCAGCAATCTTGGGGTCCAGTAAGTAGTGGTAGCTGTACACAACAATGTTGGCATAGGTTATCTGTGGGGAGAAAAACACATAATCCTCACTGGTTAGAGATTTTTCTTCCTACATGTTTGTTTAAACAGACCTACAAAGAAAATATGTGCAAAATGTAATAAAACATAGTAGGAGAAATTCTGTCTTGTACAATAGAATATAGTTTTCAAAGACAGCATAGTGTGGATACTTCAGTACTTAAAAAAAAACTTAACTGCATATCTGGCCATGAAGTAAGGACAGTAGCCCTTCTCTCGTCCCACATCCTTCATGTCATCCTGTGTAAAAAATAATATCATACAATATACAGAAAGGAATAAACAAATACAAAATAGTACTCTGATAAACTGATGTTTCATAAAATTAATGGATTCCACATAGCATGTGTAACTATAACAGACACCAATATTTTAACCATAAATGTATTGAAAATCTATGGAAATAATCTCATGCCTCAATAACTTGTACATGTGATATTGTTGACTGTGTTTGTGACAAGTCTTAAGATCAATGCAAACAATGAACTCACTAAATTGTAGATCCCAGGTGGTAGTAGGGTTTCTCTCCCAAGGGCATCAAATCTCTATATAATAGATAAGACAATAATGTTATATCAAGAAAGGGCCATTTTAAAACTGTTACAACATCATAGCTGTGACATGAACTCAAACGTCTCCTGGAAAGGGATGGCCCCATGATCTGTCCAATAAAACCTTGACATGTCATGAAATGAGGTTTTCTTACGGTATACAGTGCTACTCATTTCTTTATATGACAGAATGGAGCCATAACCCTGCTCTTAGCACTCTGTCTAGCTGCACTTAAACAAAGATATGAAATATCAAATTCAGAATAACTGTAGAGTAGTTCTGATTACTGTCTGTATTACCTCATAGAAGTCACAGACAGGCACGTCTGGGTCCCTTTCATGTCTGGCCCTGACGAAGGACGCTGTCATCTGGTGACACCGACCATCAACCTCCTTCCCAAACTGTAGTGTACTGGCCTGGGGAGGGGTTGTCATGGGTTACTAGTTGTGGGGTTATTACTCATACTAGTACTTTAAAAACTTGATGTGTTGGGGGAAAAGCAGTAGGTGGTTTGTTAAAATCATTATCTACTTATTTTGAGTGATTTCTGCAAAGAGGCAATAAAATATAATAAAATTGAATGTGCAAGAAATCTGTACAATATACTTTAGAAACCATTATGCATTGACTATAATGAATATCCATGTTTGAAATATGAGTACGACTGGAGAAGTAGAAAATGATAAAGTTGTTTGTAAGTATAATGAATTGGAAGGACAAAGTAGAATTACATTTCTGTTACAACACTGCATGTGATACCTCACCTCTGGATGGATGCACAGATTTTTCCTGGAACTCAGGGCTAAACCAATCAGGTTGGGGGGTTCCCCTGTCTCCTTCTCATAATACTCCATCAGCTTCCTCAGCTCCTCAAGAACCTGATGGAGACCAATACAGCATAAAATGACATGTTTGTATAGTCTCATTCTCAGCAGTGTACTCAGCAATAGAATCATACATGTATGTCATGTTCCTTCATCATCACAACTGACAATGAAGACTGGCAGTAAACCCTTTACTCTCCAAGAATTATGTACCTGTGCTATATAGGAATTTCATATCATATCTCTAAATACACAATGAAGAACAATGATTCAAGTAGATGATGAGTAGATGACCTTTTCAATCTCTGGCACAGTTCTGGAGCAGTAGATGAGTTTGCACACATCCTTTGGAGATGTCTGAAAGGATACAATAGGAAGCGATGTGTGGTCATTCATCTTTACTGGTATTGTGGTTTTAATCTATACAATGATGCAAAGACTAGAACTTTGAATAAGTCCCTATAAAGATAAAAGCTTACCAAAACAAACAAACAAACAAACAAACAAACAAACAAACAGCACAGCTCTCAGACCAATGAAACTGGGTCCTACCTTCAGGTATGCCACAATAAGTGAGAGTAGGGAGACAGTCTTTCCTGTCCCCGAAGGCATCTCCAGAACACAGTGGCCCTGAAGGTAATACAGGTTAGAATGTTCACATCTCTGACTTGGTCACAAAATGGTATCTTGTAATTCATCCCTGTGGCCATCAGGTTCCAGTACATACAATCAAATAAACAGCATAGTAATACACAACCCCTTCCACCCCCTTACCTTGGCATCCAGTGACCGTTTGAGCTCCACCATGTAGGAGTACTGTTCAGGGTAGATGTAGTCATACGGGAAGAGCACCAGCAGGCCATCTATGTTGATTCTAGAAGGAGGAAGGTTGTTACACATGAACGCATGAGGTGAACTGATGATATGGCATACAGTGGACGTAGTCTGAGACGTCAGAAGGATTGTGGGCCTGGCACACCTTGAACCATTAGATAATGATCTTGATAAG